GCCCTGAGAAAAGGGTGAAGAGGCAGTGTCTTTCCCCTGATTCAAAAGAGTGGAAGAGAGTACTCCCAATGGAGGTGGCCAAAATGGTCAGTTTTTCCAATCCCAGGTTTCCGGATATCTATGTATTCATTTGTACATTCAACGGACGATGGACCCGATGTCCAGCAGGTGAAGCTCCCCACCAATAGATGGAGCAATTTTGCCCAAAAAAAAAAAAAAAAAAAAAAAAAAAGGTTGTTGTAGAGGTGGGATACTAGACCAATGACAGTTGTCCACAGTACTCGGCCACTCGGTTGTCCAGCTGAGTCCGTCTGAAGACCCCAACCACCCTTCCTTCTAAAATTGGGCTCGCCTTGGGCACTGGGCCCGGAATTAAAAATGGCGACTTGTTTCAAAAAACAAAAAAGAAGGGGTAGCTAGGGTGCACTCAAGGACAGGGATTGTGCCGACAGGGCTATTTGGTGCTTTGCTTTTGTTTGTCCTGTCTGTAGTGAGAACCCGGGATTCTGGGATTGTTTGGTTTCTTGGCCGGGCCCCTAACATTTGGTACAGGGCCTGTTCCCGATCTTATGGGTACTGTAGCAGCAAGGTTTTGAACCAGAGACCCCTAAGATAGTACGAGTAGGACAGTTAGCTTGTCTGTAGCGTTGTCTGTCGGTAGGGACCGCTATCAGTTTACTGGATCGGAGCCCTTTAATTTCCGTAGTACAGTACCTATAAGAGCAGTAAAGTACAGAGACTTAATCCTCTTCTACCCGCTCTCCGTGGACGCTTTCGGCATTAGCGGAACGCGAGTATCGGGTGAGTGGAACGCATCGGCAGTTCCTGGGCGTGTGGACAGACGGGAATTTGTACTTCAAGAATTAAGCATGTACTTCGTCATGTGGTGTGTTTCACCGTGAACTTTGTTCATTGTGGACCTGCTTTTGACTTTCTCACCGTGTGAGACTCTTTGCACCATCACTGTCTAAAGCGCGTGTGAACTATCTTGGAGTCCATTTACCGAGATAAGCGAGCACGTATACGATTACAAGATACCTGTTTACAAGCTTGATTGGAGTTATTTTCGCTCTGGAGTATTCTCGTTTCAACGGAGTAACAGCTTGGGCTGAGGTGCATGATTTGGGCTTTTGGAGGACACCACGTGCGACGAAGTTAGCGGCTATTCTTCACTCGACATTCAGCACCTATGGCCGGATACAGTGATCCACGGGACTACGGACATGGCGACCAGAGGGGGTATGGTAGCGATCAGAGGGACTACCATGGCGATCGAAGCAGCTACGACCGGCGACCTAGGCGGATGGTGACGTGCTACAACTGTGACGAGCAGGGGCACTACGGTAATCAGTGTCCGCACCCGCACAGGCAAAATAATTCTAGACCATGGACATCCTCTGACTCTCAACGGGGGAAATCTGCATCGCCTCGGCAATTTCCACGCCACACGTCATCTAGCGATTCGATCCATTCCACAGTGGCAGAAATTGGAAAAAGCCTGGCAGCGGTATGCCAATACGTGGAAAACGAGCAGCAGAAGAAAGCTGCCAAGGAATGCAAGAAGATGGAGAAGAAGGAAGTCGAAGAACGAGCGGAGATCGAACGACGAGAAAGGGAGCTGAAGAAGAAAAAGAAGGAAGACAAGGCGCGGAAGGAAGCGGAGCTCGTGAAAGAAATTAACAAGAACTTGGATCTCAGGGTTGCTGTACAGGTTGGCGAATTGAGGTACGTGAGGATGTTAAATTGGAGATTAGAGAGGCGATTAATGAACTATGCAAGGTGGTGGCGTGGGGCAAGCAGAAGGTTGCTCAACCAGTGTCATCAGGATCCGAAAGCAGTGCCAGTAGTAGCAAAACGGAAGAACTCAGCAATCGGATGCGCAACCTATGGCATTGCATCAATGAGAAGAGGAAGCGGGGAGAGGAACCTGTCTTCGAAGACAGTCCTCCCAATGGCATGGAATTGCCACCGAAACGGACCCTGAGGAAGATGGGGAAACCAGTCAACTTGACTGCGAGGATCACTCGCTCCAAGGCAAAGAAGAACTCGACAACACCCCGGAAGACTCCAGCATCGATCCGAAAGAAGGAGATACGGGCATCGATTGGAGTAATCGGACGTTTGAAGTTCGAGAAGCAGGTCATGCAGGAACTGAAGAATCTCGACGCTTTGGTCCCGCAAAACGTGTGCCGCGATGAAGGTATCCCGTATAACGGTAAGTTCGAGGCTATCTTCGACATAGTCGCGCACCGTACGAAGGTCGCGTACGGAACTGATGAGGAGGAGGACACAGAGTCTACGCATGAAAAACAAGCGGATGACAAGGCAGAAGGTGAGGAACAGCATGTCGTTGAGTGATGTGGTTTCAGCGTAGCCGATCTTTGGAAGATTATTAGTTGCCTTACTAAGTGGAGAGCAGAGAGTCACAAGGTTGATGCTGGGGTCGAGGAATTTCTGCGGTTAGTTATAGTTCGTCTATCACTTTTGGGTGTATTTCGCTGGACGAAGAAGTGTGTGGATGCATGGCTACGCTTATACGACACTTTCGGGGTGGATTTTATTAACATAAGTCTGTGCATATACGTGGCAATATCACCCTATTGCAAGTCTCGGTATGTGGGTAGGACATCGAGACACCCTGATGTGAGGTGGAGAGAGCACTTATATGCTTGTCGAACACGCAAACCTAACCATTTTTATCGATGGCTTAGTGCGTATGGCGTTGAAAAATACGTATTGATCCCGCTCAATTCAATTGCTGTTGATGAGTTTAGATAATTTGGAAAGCATATATATAAGACAGTGGTCTCCTTACCTTAACACATCTGGAGTTAAGAAAGAGAAGAAGGGAGCAAAGAGTAAACGGAGAAAGGGGAGGGTTGAGCGTGCGAGGTCTGGACTGCATTCGAATGGTGAAAATCGGGTGATTGCTCCACTGAAACTCAAAGTGCACGAGACAGACGAGTGGTGTTTGAACCTTTTCGAAATTCTGAATCAGCAAGATGGATCTGGCTGCCGTAGCTTCACGCTGACCAGTAGCAGATGTAACATTTGGATTAATTCATGGAAGCAGGTATCAAGGACTTTTGGGAGGACTGCGCTACAAATAGATACTAAGCAAGTGCAGTTTAAAAACTGCAAGCGGCTGTTCGAACAAGGCGGGTCTTTCACTGTCGTGCACCTTCGGATATGGAAACCGCAATGCGCTTTCTTGAAGAATGTCCTTACCTCGCTGCTAAGAAAACCAGGTGAACTAGCACGTATCTATCAATGGCGCATGCACTCTATCTTACGCCTCTATCGTGCAATTAAGGACTTTTGTCGAAAGTCTACTAGGAAGTACCTCCGCCGACTGATCTCATGAGTGTTCCTCGAGAAGTTTGACCTCATCCTGGTGTTCTGGGATTTGGACAGTATCTAGCCTTCTTTTGCATCTGGGATATAGGAATCTAGAGATGATCGGACCACGACTGATATCGACAGAGTTGTTCTGTTCTGTGCCCCTGGTTTGCTGATGCCAGAACGACGCTGGCCGGAGCTGGGGCGTTGCCCTGTAACCTGCAAATGGCAGGAGCATGAGGCCTTGTAGAGAGATCTGGGGTTTGCCGAGGGAGGAAGGTAATCCAGTGGCTAACCAGGGGGGGCTGCTAGGTGGCGAGAAGGGAGCAGCTATGGGTGATATCGGTTAGGCTAGTATTGTCTTTGAGTTACAATGTCCTCATTCAGGGTGGGCTAGAAGTTGAGCTACGAGTACAAGGCCAGAAGGGCTGATATACTAATTATCATCAACAATAGCATCATCAGCATTCACCATCAACATAATCGTTTAGCATCATCAGAGGTGGGACGTTGAGCCCAGTTCTCAGCAAGTTGGGTTCGGTTACTCCGGGTAGACTGTGTGGAACCCGGCCTCAATCATCTTATTGGTAATATCAGCCTTGGCCACTGGGCCCGGTATTTTGAAAAAAAAAAAAAAAAAAAAGTTTGACCTCATCCTTAGTTCTGACTTGTTGGTTCGAGTGAAGTTTGACGATCGGATACGTCTGTGTGAACTTCGTAAGGTGTTGCATGATTTGCTAACGAGGTGTGATCTGCCTACTTGTTTCTTGCGACGGGCGCGAAAGAAAATTCGCATCGTATGGACTAAGAATCGAACGGTGGGCAAAGTATTGCACAATCACAGAGCTTATGCAACTCGTAATGTGCTTACCTGCCAATGCGCACGCCTTCCCTATCCCAGAGTGGATGGGCATGTTCACTTTCACTTGAGTAAGGAGATGGCAGATCACCCTCTGATTGTTAATGCTAACAAGTGGACCCGCCACGGCTACGCCATGGCGCACAACAACACTCGCTGATGGCGCCTTATTTTTGTTTCATCTCTCTCTCTCTCTCTCTCTCTCTCTCTCTCTCTCTCTCTCTC